GACTTTTCTCTATTAAATTGTGTTATTCACTTAGCAGTACAGTTCAACTTATTATTGTTTTAAATTTAAATTAATGTTGATGTTACTTCCATTTAATCAATATTACACAATTATTTAATACTTATTAAGCACCAAGATCCAGCTTTGACCGTTAAATATTCTTCTTTATTTAAATGTATAAATTTAAAAATATATATACATATAATTTTATGTACTATAATTTCATCAAATTTATTTCAAGTTTTTATATTATTTTGTATCGTCTCTCTTGTTTTATTCTATTATATCAATTCTATTGTATCTTGTTTTATACAATTTAAGTAATACTAGACATCCTAGACGCACACTTCGCACGCGCTATTTTATTTTTTATTTTTTACTTTTTACTATAAAACAATATTAAAATGTATAAAAATACATTGTATTGTACTATTAATCTCTCGATACGCAAAACTGTCAAAATATACGCTCACGAAATATGCGCCAGAGAACCAATCAGTATCGTGGAAAAGCGATAGGTGCGAGTATCGATGACATGCCTTTCTTAGAATAATTCTAATCTAAAAGAGGAAGGATGTTATATTCTTCAGATAAAATAAGTAAAACGTTGCATCAATGAAGTTCGTGATAATTCATGATTAGATCAAACCATATGTTGATATTTCTAATTAGAATTATACATTCGATCAATTAAATGTATATTAATTATAATTATACATTCAAATATATATATATATATATATATTATATATATAATTATATTCGAATTAGAATTATACATTCGAATTTGTATTATACATATACATGATTACTTAACAAATAAAGAAATATATTAAGCATTATACTATTTCCAAATAAACAAATATCATAAGTCGCCGCCTACAATAAAATTCCACATATTCGAAGAATATACGGAGAAAATGTTAGAGTAATTGTTACAATAGAATGATAATGTTATCTTTTACCTATCTATACAAAATAATTAATATAAATCATAGCACTTTGAAAATGATTTATGTTTGTCCTAATCTTAGTATAAGTTAAATAAGATGCGAATACCGATGACATGCCTTTCTTAGAAAGGGAATAATTCTAATTTAAAAGAGGATGTTATTCTTCAGATAAAATAAATTAAACGTTGCATTAATGAAGTTCGTAATAATTCATCTACTATATATATATATGTTATATATATATACAACACAAATTCTAATTTAAATTAGAAATATCAACGTTTAGTTCGATCTACTAATGAATTATTACGAACTTCATTAATGCAACGTTTAATTTATTTTATCTGAAGAATAACATCCTCTTTTAAATTAGAATAATATATATATATATATAATGTGTGATTACTTAACAAATAAAAAATATATTAGGCATTCTATTTCCAAATAAACAAATATCATAAATTGCCGCCTACAATAAAATTCCACATATTCGAATACACGGAGAAAAATTTAGAGTTGTTACAACAGAATAGTAATATTATTTTTTATCTATCTATACAAAATGGTTATAGAAACCATAGCACTTTAAAACTGACTTATGTTTACCTCAATCTTAGTTAGTTATCTAAATAAGAATTGCTGCCACATTAATGTTACAATCGTAATGATTATTTCTAGGAATTATTCCTGCGACCATAGTTACATATTATTCTCCCAGTAAACGGAAAAGGATTAAAATGAATTAAAATTTTTTAATTCATGAATTTAAATTCATTAAAATAAATATTAATTTCCGTGGAAATAAATGCATTTCTATTTCATAATACGAATATAATATAATATTTTTACTACAATATTAATATAATATTTTTTGGATTAGATAGATTGTGAAACAATGCATTTCCTAATCACAATTTTTAATTAAATAACTTTTATGATTTATTTTCACGGAAAACTATATGTTATTATAAACTATATATTTTTTAAATTTAATTAGATTGAAAAGCTGCATTTTTTATCTAAAATTTTTAATTAGCTAGTATTCATGATTTTAGATACTTTTTAAAACTGAACTTATTTTTAGATTGAATGGCATAGAAAATGTAATTATGCAATTCCTATAAATGAATACAAAGACATTGAGCATTGAAATGGATTCAGATTTTTAGAAGTACGTATTCGCGAACGTTAAAATACATTTTTTTCAATCTATTTTAATTTATTTCTGTTTGCTGTTTTAAGCTGATAGCATTCTTCATTTGTAAAATCATATACCTATTAAGGTAAAATTATCTTTATGATAAGACATCTGTAAGAATTTCCAAATGTATTTGTTGGATATTGATAAAATTTAATTTAGAATGTCAATCTCAGCATTCAGCAGATCATGGTTGATCTCCATTGCTTTTTTGCCACTTATTTCTCTAACAACGAGCTATCTGAGATAAGGGCGTACATCTTAGAATTTTAGATTGTTCAGTAACTCGTTGCTAAAGTGTCATAGTGGCAAAAGAAAACAATAGACATTAAACTATCAAAGTCGGACAAAAAGTATACTTCTTTCTAGCGTTAATAGAAAGGGAAAATAAAAAAAGAAACAAAAAAATATCATAAAGTGATAAATGATAACATCTTTTTTCCTGTACATAAATAGAATTTTGAGAATATTTTTTCCTATTATTAGCATAAATACATGAATACATATAGGTATATGAAAGTAAAAAAAGGAACAAAAAGAAAATATCATAAAATTATAAATAATAAAATCTTTTTTCCTGTACATAAATAGAATTTTTAGAATATTTTTCCTATTAGCATAAATACATGCATACAGGTCTCAAAACTCTTAATTAATATTTTAAGGTGTAAAAGAGAAAAAATTTTGAACTAAAAGTTCCTTTATCAATTTTGGCTCAGACCATTATTTACAGAGTTATTAACAAATAAAGTTATTCAATCAGATCGCGTTTAGCCGGAGTACGAAAGAACGTATTATGCCGTGCAGTTCTCCGCGCTTATTTCTCTCGATTAAAATTTTATTCTAATTTTTCATATTAATAAATAAGTAAAAGTTCTAATAAGTTCTTGGCCGTTAAACTTTTCATTGTTGAAATAAGTAAATAATAAATAAGAATAAAAACAATCACGATTTAAAAAAATTTTGAACGTAACTTATTCTTATTTATTTATTTACCTACCTTATTTATTAATTTATTATTCACTTGCTTATTTATTAACAATATAAGACAATTATTGATTTATTCATTTGCTTATTTATTAATATGAAAAATTAGAATGAAATTTTAATCGAAAGAAGCGCGAAGAGCCGCACGGCATGCTACGCTCTTTCGCACTTCGGCTAAGCGCAATCTAATTGATTAACTTTATTCGTTAATAACTCTGTAAATAATGGTCTGATTGTAAGCCAAAATTGATAAAGAAACTTTTAGTTCAAAATTTCATTTTCTTTCACGCCTTAAAATATTAATTAAAAGTTTTGGGACACCCTGCATACACATATACATTAAAGAAATATATTTTATAGTTAATTTACTTGAAAATAATTAATTTGAACATATTTGATATCACATAATATCATATAAAGAAACTGCAATATGCTAAAACAGAGAGTTTAAAAATCTTATCCATAATAACAAGAATCACAATATACACTTGTCACACATTTGTAGACACTTTGTTCTTCGCTAGTATAGCAATGATACAGATAATAGTAATTGCAATAGAACTAAATTCTCTATTCAATTTTGAGTGCTGTATCGTAAAACTATATTCTACAGATCTCTCGGTCACACTATTTGTTCTGTAAACCGTATTAAAGAGACAATAATCTTTCGGCAACCATGTATAAGAATATTCTAACAAAATATTAATTTTTATCCTAAAAGTTACGATTGAGAACCGTACTGATGGGCATACCTTTACAGATATATTCAATGCAATATCAATATGACTTAAATTCACATATGTATACATTTCTTTTCCAAACATATAGAATATTATAATAACAACCATAGCAATTTTTTCATGAAGCGTACAAATTTTCTTTTAGAAGAAAAAGAAAAGAATACATATTTTTAGCAAATATACCTGTACCATTGTTTAGTTAATTGAATACTTCATTACGTATATTCCATTTTGCTTATAAATTTTTGTTATAGGTACATTCGTGAAATTAAAATACAAATTTTATTTTTTTACTTAATATAATTACGTTATATTTTGAAATAAAGAATGATATTTTAAATTGTATGAAAATTAGATTTTAGATAAAAAAATATTAATTAATTTGCAATTTATATATTATTTTAAAGTCTTATTGTTTTAATATTTTTCTTAAACAGTAATGTACTAGTAATTGTTTAGCGATTGACTCTAATATGATGCAATATAACTTCATCGAATTTATTATAAACTCTCATTTTACTTTCCATCGTCCCCCATTGTTTTATTAGACACCTTGCTTTATCATATTTCATATAATTTAAATACTTGAATACTTGAATAAAAAAAAATAATTGAAATTATAAAGTTAAGCTAGACCGTTATATAAATAAATGAGTAAAGAAGAGAAAATATGGTTTTTGACCCTTCTTTGAATATTCGGATGAAAGGAGAGACAGCAATTTAAATTTACCAAATTTACCAAGCTAATGGCCAATTTATCGGGCACGATCGCGCACAAAGTAATGGATGTTACGTGTTTTATTGCTCGTGGCACAGGCTGCATCTTATCGTCGTCCATCCGCGAATTTTCGCAGATTCTCATTTCGCTCGCCGATTATCGAATTCCTGACCATCGTCGTCGCCGTCGCCGTTGCCGTCGAACCGAGTGTGTTCTTTTCCCACTCTCCGAGGCGATCACGGTGGAGGCGGCGGAGGCGGCGGCGGCGGCGGCGGCGGCGGCGCGCGGCAGCGACGTTTCTCTCCGCGGACGCGTAATCCTCGCTCACATCGATAAGAGAAGACCCGAGATGGCCACGGCAGTCGGAGGAGCACGGAATGCCTCCCTTACCCCCATCACGATCCGTTCGTCCAATATATAAGTGAACCGGCGCGCCGATGGAACGTGTACACGTACCACAGTCGGCCGGCGTTTCGTATGTTTTGTGTGTTTCCTTCGTTTATTTTAAACGTGCGCGGGCCGCGCGCGACGGATAAACCTCCTGTTTCGCACGTGCGCCCCGGCGCGCGAGGACACGCGCGCGAAACACGGAACGCGACGCGCGCCCCTTTCCAGCCCGCGCCGGCCACGCGACCAAGCCCGGTCGAGAATCCGCCATTTTCAGTTCCGCCTTTTTTTTTTACTTCGTGCTTAAAATCACCGTGCTGAATTCGCCATCGCCAGAAATCGCAGGAAGCTATATAATAAAAGTAGCGGCATGCGAGACAATTTTATTAATGTAGAGATTGGAGACAAAGGTGCGGGAATTTTGTCTGTCAATTGTTAATTTGTGGAGCGAATTACAGTTGTTAAAGATAATTATATAATTATATCGCCAATGGCATGAGTCACGTAAGTCACGTGTCGCGTTGACCTTCCCCGAACGTGCCTGACTGTGTGACAGGTTTCTTCCCGTGGAAATTAAACTTAAAGAGAAAGACGCGCGAAAACCGAGTGTGCGCGAAAATTGTTGGTATCTAGTTGTCGAGAAAGAAGAAATTCAAGAAGGATGGAGTCAATGCGGTCCGGATGGAGATCATTTGCGAGTCTTCTCTTGATCCTGCTAGCGACGGCGGGAGTCGGCGGAACGAGACCCGAAACAGTCCTTGTGGATGTGCTCACGAGACCCTTCGTGCCACGAGAATTTGCCTCCTCCGAGTGCATCCGCGACGGTGAGATTTACCTAAAGGCGCTCGAGAGATACACTCCCTGGGCGCTCCAAAGTAAGTAAAAGGATGGCTCGAACAGAGAGAAAGAAAAAAAATTATACATATCCTTCGGATTCTATCGTGTTTATATTTTTCATTCGATGTGAAGTGTGAATATTCATCTGATTCCTTTGTCTTTATATTCTATTCTTCATCCTTATTCGTTAATTTGTTGATTTGTTTGATCAATTTTGATAGGACTATGACCGATCAAAAAATATATAACTATAAATTTTAAAATGTATAAATATAAATATATAAAACTTTTGCTAAAATCTTTTGCGCGTGTTCTCGCGTCCCCAACATTTAAAATATGTTAGATATACAATATTTAAATTATAATACAAATTAGAATTTAATAGATCATCCTTGTCTTACAAAAAAGACTTTATTTATCACATGAATAATTGATTCACTTTGCTTTGTTATCAATTGTTGAGTAGATCGCAACAAACAAATTTTATATGTTTTTTAAATTAAAAAGAAGAAAAATAAATAAATCGAAAACAATTAAAGTTTTTTAGAATTTGTTGAATCCCAATAAGTGTATTTAATGAACGAGTTAGAAAAAATGCACTTTTTAGGTCTTCAAAATAGTATTTGATTAACAATATTATATTTAACTTTTCAAAAACCGCCTTCTAAAAGTTATAAAAAATTAAATAAATATTAAATAATTAAATTCTTCGCAGTATTTTAAAATGTTTATTAGCATCAGTATTATTAAATTGAAGATCAATTTAATTTGTGATTTTACTATCCCAACTTTATTTTGTAGTTGCGTTAATTGTCCAACAGTAATCGACGCACCGTTTAAATAATTGAATGTATAAATACATTTAAATATAATACATATAAATAAATTTAAAAATATTACTAGGCACCAAGATCCAGCATCGTTGTTAGCATTTCTCTATTTAATTGTATTATTCGCTACAGCGGTCTTTAACTGTTAAACAATTATCCCCGGTAAGACAACGTTCTACGCACAATTCGTAATAATTGCGATTTCTTTTTATCTCTCAATGAGAATTAAGCTCGGATTCGGGGGAAGGACAGCGAGGAGAAAAACATTATATAATCTTCACGTATTGTTTTGTCTGTTATGCGTCGCATGTGAGATCACGAAAACGATTACGACTGCGTTTTTTTTTACGTTTAAACATTCAGCAATTATCGGACATTGCACGCTGCGCGCAATTATCGAGCGAGGTTATCGCGGGCGTGTAACATTGCGTATATGATATCGCCGCCGAGCACACGTGGAGTGCAGCATATCGTCAATTATCAGATATCGATCTCTTCCAGCGCGAAGATAATGGTGACGAATCAGAGAGATCCGATCGACGTGATAAAACGTATCTCAATTTTTCTTTTCCGCGCCACACGCCCGGAGTTCAACGTACTCGCACGAGGACGCGAGTTGCAAAAGCAGCGCGGCGGTGAGACCCGGGCGTTGCAAAATTTTATCGTCCTTTTTATCTCCTCCGAAAGAGACGAGAAATAATTTCGGGAAACGAAGACCACCGCCGGTTTTCGGCCGTGTCGTACGATTTCGACGCCGCGGCCGATTCGGTGATCGTCCGTATCTCGAATTTCCAGATTCATGCAATGCGCACGCTGCACGTGCTTCTTTCGAAAGAGAGGCGGCGCGGCGCGGTGGCGCGATACCGCGCGCGTCGAATTTACGCGATTGCGTTATACATCGATCGAAAGAGCCTTGTGTCCATTTTTGCGGGCGAATTATCGTCTCCGTGACACTTGGACTAGCACAGATTAACGAGTGTGACATTGATCTGATTGATATTAATAGCGTAATGCCGCGATCGGTGACAGCATCGCGATCGTTACAAGATGTTTAACCCACGCGTCCTCGGCGCGGCGCGTATGCGGATCCCCTCGTCGCTGCGTACGTGTTATGGGATCATCGCTGCATAGATCATCGCCGTTTTGCATTATGACAGGCCTTTATCTCCGCCGCGATAATTACATTTTGTTGACTCGTGTTTACTCCGTTCTTACGTCAATGCGTCGAACGCAACATTCAATGAATATCCATAAACGCCGGATGCATTTTTGCCCCTTTTGATATCGGCGTCAAATGGATTTCTCCATTGACAGTATCTGGTCAGCGCGATTATTGTATTTTCTTTTTGTACTAAATTTATTACCATTGGTATTGCACATACAAATATGTTTTCACTTGAATGTTACATCTAAAAGGATAAAAAATAATAATAAAAGATAGAATAGCTAATAAATGCAAGACAAGTTGATTAATAAAGTAATTGATTTAATATTCAATTAATTTTCTTATTTATTTTGATTATCCAATATGTAATAATTATTTAATATTTTTTTATATAAAAAAGAAAAAAAAGAATTGTTTAACAATTAATAATTATTTTCTGAAATAAAAATTATAATTATTTAGAAAAAAATATATTTTTTTAAATACATCCTACTTTTTAATTAAAAATAACTTGATATAATTATATAATATATATAATATACACATAAATATAGTAAAAAAATTTCTGATACAATGAAGAAAGCTTATAATCAAGTATAATTAATTTATACAATTGCATATATAAATGTATATAAACATACATATATAAAATTAATTATATGTATATTTATATTAATATAAATTAAAAATTTATATTTATATTGATATATATATTAATAATTTTATAATTATATAATTTAATAATAATTATACTAAATTTTGCTGCCATAATATTGCGTTATTGAATGTTACTTTTTCCTTAAAACTTTATCGGCCGATTTAAGACAAAAAAATAATCTCGAACGAACGATGCCGAGAGTACTAATTCCTACTGATGCATGGCAATCGCTCGCAAGTATTGTCAGCTTTGTAACCGGCGCGGCGTGCTGTTAAGAAAAAGGCAATTAACAATCTACGCGCGCATATATATATATTCGCGCAGAAACAATAATATTGACCGATGTAATTGCAGTATGTGCGTCGTACGCGCGAGACCAAACTGGGTCAGCGAGATGCATCCACGAGGCCGATGACCGTCCTTGTGTATCAGCTAGGGGTCTGCCTTCGATCGATCGATCGATCGATCTTTTCCTGGCCTGTAACGTCACTTAATCGCCAATCCGACTAGCTCGCACGATTCCTCAGCTATTGTTTATACGACGATCGGAGTTGAATCGGTCAAGCATAAGAGAAAGAGAAAGGTCTAAATACGTTAAAAGATCCCTTTACTTACGGATATATAAAGAGGAAACAAAGTAACTTGTTACATTAGCATTATTACATTAACACTTACTACCATGCGTCTATATTTGGATAACACGTAAAATTTTCGTTACTTATTTGTGTCACGGTTTTATTAAAAATTGTTATTAAAAATTATTAAAAATTATTTTCTTAAAAATAATTTTAATTATTCTTGATCAGATTAAGAATACTTTTACTAACAATAAGTATTTAAAATATATATATTAAAGAAATATTATGTAAATTAAATATAAATTATAAATTATAAATAGTAGAAATTAAAAAGAAATAATATAAATAGTATAAATAATATTTTTAAAAATTCAAAAATAATAAAGAATTAAAATATCACGCTATACATATATTTATTAAACTCAACGTCGAAATCAGCTCGACAGTCAACGCGTATTAACAGATATCTTTGACTCGTCACGTTCACTTCTACGTAGAATTGATCGGGAGGACATTGAGCTATCGCCGATATCGTGCAATCTGCATAAGTACGCTCGCTGTATCGTTATCGTTCGGAAATTTTTAAAATTATAAGTATTGCGCTATCGTCCAACGCATACGATCGTGTGTATTCCTTCAGCCCGGTCGGTCGGTCGATCCGTTTTTGCGACGATTCCTAGCCTGATCGACCGTTTCTACGTATCGGCCGTATCGCGTATAGATAATGCACTTCCGCAGTTAACGCACTCGCGACATTGACGTTGCCTCTGCGTCATGGCGCGATCACGCGGTTCCAAGGAATCACCTTGAAATCCCATTTCGAATAGCGTAAACTCGTCGTTGTGCACAGAGATGACTAATTACATAAATCATTAGAGTATAATGCGCGATTCTCTCTCTCTCTCTCTCTCTGCGCGCAGTTGGATAGTTTATCGCTATATCCTCCTAGAACTTACTCCTAGAACGTGACTTTGATCAACGCGCCGTTTGTTCCCGCCGAGTATATTCCATCGTGGGATTTAATCGATTATACGCAATTTCCTTTCTCGTATAAAAAAAAAGAAATTCTTCTCGAGCCTGCCTGCTTGGTTCGTCATTAGCGAAACATGAGGAAATATATACTATACATCTAAAAAAATAGAGCTTACAATCTTAATCTCAAAATTAATTGTGGCAAGAAAGATGCTAATAACTGCAATAATTACTCGTCCGTCAATATAAAAGATGATTATTTTAAAAAGCTTTATAATGAAAAGACTATAGTAAAAACTAAATTCTCTTCAACAATTTTAAATTCACATTTGTACGTGCCATAATAATAGAATTAGGTAGTAAATAATTAAAAAAAATTAGGAGCTAAACAATAAATTAAGTTAAAAACTAAATAATTTTTAATTTAACTTATTGTTAGTTATTTTCAAATGAGTTAACTCTCTTTTAACTTCAACTAATAATTTTAAACATATATTAACTTTTCAATTTAATGTATCTTGAATTAAACAATCGGTTTTCATGTCTGTCGCGACTGTCGTTAGTCATTTGACTTTATTACTTAAAGTCAAATAATAAAGACAAATAATTAAATTAAATAACTAAATTTTAATAAAAGTTTCATTTCAAAATTTTTAGTTAAATGTCCTTTTAATCATCATAATCCTTAAAATTTTTGTTCTTTTCTATTCAAAGTAACTCTCTTTTAACTTCAACTAATAATTTTAAACATATATTAACTTTTCAATTTAATGTATCTTGAATTAAACAATCGGTTTTCATGTCTGTCGCGACTGTCGTTAGTCATTTGACTTTATTACTTTAAGTAATAAAGTCAAATGACTAACGACAGTCGCGACAGACAT